ACTGGGACCTCGGTGATGATTCATCGTGGGAACCTGCTGAAGAGCCTAGACCAGGAACAGCTTCTGTGCCCACATGAGGGGTTACCACCTTGGGGAAAATCTCACCCACTAACGCCTTGAGGTGACTATGCAAGGCTACCAGAGTCTTCTTCAGGGTCTCAAACCCGAAATCGAAGAGGGTCTCAGCGGTAAAGTTCCCAGCAGCCATCCCAGCTTCGTGAAGCAGGTTAATCAGGGCCTTGAGAACCTCCAGGTCTGTCGTTGCGATGGGCAGGGCCGTTATCGGGCCATGGACCTGGTCTAGTAGCTTGACCTTGAGCGTCTTCATTACCGGATCCTTTCGCAAAAACGACTTCAACTTACTCTGGTAATATGCTTCTTCCAGGTCCTCTTCCGTCCAGTCCCTAGTAGCCACACCTTGGCTCTCTCCCGACTCGTCCGTCGTGTCTCCGCGGTGCCTTCAACTTGGCATTCTTCTTTTTCTTGTTCTTGGGCACAGATGTTTCTTGAGTGGTAGGTTGGGAGACTTGTTTCGGGGTCCCTTGTTTTTTAGCTTCCCTGTCAAACTTGGGGCCCCTGGACCATAATATTTATTATGGCCCATGATGTCTTCTCCAACGAAGACAAAAGGGGGAGGATTTTGTGGTTTTTCTTCATATTCCACCTTGACCTCAATAGCGGAGCTCCTCCCCGGGCTCTGCAGGTCCTCCGATCCTTCTTCCTTCTTGATCACTGGCGATACGGTTTCCAGTGTCTTGGTTGTCCCTTGGTTTATCTTGACCGTTGTCATTTTTTCTTTGTGGGACTCACGGTGAAATCCCGCGTCTCCAGAAGATCCGGGCACGCGCACCATTGTGGTGGAGTGGATTCTCAAACGACGTGAGAGAACCACAAACACACACAGCGCCGGACTGCCGACTTACGGAGGGGGTACCCCGATACCATGTCGCGTCAACCTTGGGTCTCACCTTGTGTACCCGTCGGCTTGGCTGGTCTTGCTCCTCGTTAGACGCAGAAGACTTATAGACTTGGTCCTTATACGGAGGGACTTGGGGGCCCAGGAGTGGATATACTTCACTCGGGCCCGGGGTTTCTTGAACTCAATTGACTGTGTCGAGAGCAATGCACCTGGTACTATGTACCCCTTTCGGTGTATAACTGTGTCTTGGTCCTTGGACCCCTCTCTCTTGCTCCCCGTAGGGAAACCGCTTCTTGTAGCGGGTGTTGGGTGTTTTGACAATTACTTGACACTATCCTGAGGTTCAACTTGCGTAGCTTGAGCCGTCTAACACCTGCTGACGTCGCGGGGCCAAAGGATATCCCGTCCGGAGAGGTGGAGCGACGTAGAAGCTAAGAGGAGGTGTGGTGAAGTGCCAGGAGAATCGGGGCCCAGGGTACCAGGGTACAGGGGCCCCAGGGTACAAGGGCCCAGGCCTTGTAAGGTCCCAAGGTTCAGCGAGTGTCACCAGAAACAGGGTTTTTTAGTCTTCAGGAACCGGGGTTTTAGTCACCAGGGACAGGGTTTCCAGTTACCGAGGACAGGGGTACCAGTTACTGGGGACAGGTTTTAACCGGGGACACGGGTATCAGTCAACAGGGACAGGGCACCAGGGAAGGGTTCCAGCTACCGGGTACAGGGTTTCCAGTAACCGGGGACAGGGGTACCAGTTATGGGGACAGGGGTACTAGTCACTAGGGACAGGGTTTCTAGTACCCGGGGACAAGGGTACCAGTCACCAGGGACAGGGTTTCCAGCTACCGGGGACAGAGTTTCTAGTAACCGGAGACAGGGGTATCAGTCAATAGGGACAGGGCACCAGGGACAGGGGTACCAACTACCGGAAATAGGGTTTCCAGTAACCAGGGACAGGGGTATCGAGCGTCCAGGGTCCTGAAGTCATCAAAGATACAAGGTTACCCTACCGGGTGCACACCAGGCACCCGAAAGTTCCAGTGCCCCGAGGTGGTCTAGGGTCGTAAGGTCAAAGAAGGTACAAGGTATATCTACGTGCAGAGCCGGTACAGGATCCAAGGTCCAAGAGAACAGGGTACAAGAGCCCAGAGTACCAGAGCTTAGGGTACAAGATACAGGGTACAGGGGTACCAGGGTACCAGAGTACCAGGGCCCAGGGTACCAGGGTACCAGGGCCCAGGGTCCAGGGTATAAGATCCAGGGTACAAGGTCATGGGCCCAGGGTCCAGAGCCCAGGGTCCAGCTCCCAGGTACAGGGTACAAGGCCCAGGGTACAGAGTACAGGTTCCAGGGCCCGGGGTACAGGGTACAAGGTCCAGGGCCCAGGGTACAGAGTACAGGTTCCAGGGCCCAGGGTACAGAGTACAGGTTCCAGGGCCCAGGGTACAGGGCACAAAGCCCGAGGGTGCAGAAACGGTACACGGAAACCTCGAAGATTACAGAAAGTACAGGTACCAAGGAGCCAGTACTTCCTCCAACAGTCGACACGTGGCACTATCCAGAGTAAATTGTTAGGGTTAGGCAAGAAAAAGCATAAAAATATAAGGTAAATAAACACACTCGAATTTGCATTACACGTGGCAGCTCTAAACGCCCCTCTTTAAGCTCCTCTCCGTCACCTCACCTATTCCGGGCGGGATACCCTTTGGCCCACCGACTTAAGGTGAGGTGACGGCTCGAGCAACGCAAGTTGAACCTCAGGATAGTTGGCCTGAGGTGTCAAGTGTCAAGACTCAAGTGCGAACTTGTTTCGATCTACCCACATGTTCCGGGGAAGGGATTTATTTTGGTCCCCCGTTGAAGACAGTCGTATGGTAAGATTCAAGCTCGAACGATCCCCACTAAGTATTCTGGCCTGTGGGTTCGTACCCATTCAAGACCCGATAAAGGAAGCGGTTTCCCTACGGGGAACAAGAAAAGGGGTCGAAAGACCAAGAACCGTTAGCCACCGAAGGGGTACATAGTACCAGGTGCATTGCTCTCGACACAGTCAATTGAGTTCAAGAAACCCCGGGCCCGAGTGAAGTATATCCACTCCTGGGCCCCCAAGTCCCTCCATATAAGGACCAAGTCTATAAGTCTTCTGCGTCTAACGAGGAGCAAGACCAGCCAAGCCGACGGGTACACAAGGTGAGACCCAAGGTTGACGCGACACGGTATCGGGGTACCCCCTCCGTAAGTCGGCAGTCCGGCGCTGTGTGTGTTTGTGGTTCTCTCACGTCGTTTGAGAATTTACTCCATCACAGAGGCGCTTAAGCTGCCACGTGTAATGCAAATTCGAGTGTGTTTATTTGTCTTATTTTCTGTATGCTTTTCTTGCCTAGCCCTAACCCTTCGCTCTAGATGACATCCCGTGTCAACTTGTGAAAGAACAGCTGGCTCTTTAAGGACATGGGACTTGCACCGACGCTGCTCTTTAGGGAAGCATTGTACCTTTTTATAACCTTGGGTCACCTGGCCACCTAAGGTACCTTGTGACACTGGGTCATCCGGTCACCTATGGTCAGCCGGTCACCTGGGGTCATCCGGTCACCTGGGTCACCTGGTCACCTGGGGTCATCCGGTCACCTGGGTCACCTGGTCACCTGGTCATCTTTTTACCTGGTCATCTGGTCATCTGGTGTATCGGTTCGTCCTTGGGTCACCCTGGTCCACCTGAGGTGCCGGGTCAACCTTGGGTCCTCCTGGTCCACCTTGGGTGCCGGGACCACCTTGGGGACTGGTCCACCTTGGGTTGTGGTCCATCTTGGATAATGGTCCACCTTGAGTCCTGATCCACCTTGCGAACATGGACTACCCTCGAGGCACTGGACCTTCGGGCTCTTGGACTTGTGCCGGCTCTGCACTGTAGGGCAACCTGGCACTTCTCCAAGTGACTTCAGGACCCTAAAACCTCCATAACCCCTGTCCCCGGTGACTGGTACCCCTGTCCCCGGTGACTGGTACCCCTGTCCCCGGTGACTAGAAACCCTGTCCCCGGTAACTGGTACCCCTGTCCCCGGTGACTGGAAACCCTGTCTTCGGTAACTGGTACCCCTGTCTTCGGTAACTGGTACCCCTGTCTTCGGTAACTGGTACCCCTGTCCCCGGTAACTGGTACCCTGACCCTGGGCTGAACCTTGGGACCTTGCGAGACGCAATTATAGTCATTCCCTTGAGGGAGTGACCTGGATTTCTGTGCCCTTTATTACGATGTCCTCAGGGGCCCCGATTCTGCTGGCACTTCTGCACAATTATGTTGTTTAAACGATAGTGATGTCACAAGCTGGAGACATCGATATCGTCAACAAATGATTGTGCCTCTCGGAATAGCAGCGCCAGGTGTGGCTTGCGTGGAGAATGATGCGTGCGAAGTAAAATTGAGTCATGAGAGGCCGACGTTGGGTTGGATAATGTGAAGGCTCAGTATAAAACGAGGCGGTCGATGGTTGGCTCACAAACAATTCTCAGTACTGGACGTTTTGTGGCATCTTTTTTTCCGTCAGCAAATCGCCTGGATCTGAATAATAGCGTTTACAGCAATATGGTGGCATGCAGTAGACGAACGAGTGTCCGCTTTGTCACGTACGTGATATAAGAAGCATTTGCATGTAACAATATAGCTTATGACGAAGCCTGTTGACTGCAGATGCTGTACCGGTGCATGTATCAACGTGTTGTGTCGTGCACCTTTATGTTGTTATAGGCCAAGAAAACCCTCAATGGCGTCGGTTGACTTAATGTCCACTCGGACTCAGGGCTTCTAGGCCCTCTTGTCCGCTTTCTTTGACAGCAAATCGACGAAAAAGAACTTTTTACGTGAACAGCCCGTGAGGTATGCATCTGAGTAACACGAGCAGAAAATGGTGCAACCATCGTCTATTGTCACCGACACTTTGACGTGAACGTCGGAATAGAGATTTGCTCATCAAGCTATTACGGCGCTTCAGACTCTATTGTGCTTTTACTTCAACGTGCTTCCATTCCTCACAGGATGCACCCTTACTTGTATTTTAAGGCGACGTTATGAGATTTGACCACAGAGATGTTACTGAATCATTAATAAGGCCGACAGCTTTTCCTCATCGTCCAAGATGGACCACACCTCCACCTTCCACCCTGCCTCTCTACCGCTCCTGGTAGTGGTTGTTGCACAAATTGTCTGTGCGCTCATAAGCCTGGCGCATACATCCTTCCACCACGCACCGCTTACCTGCAAGCCACGTAACAGATCGTGCAACCTTATCTGTTGACGAACATGAACGTACCTCCTCCGTGGGCCCAGCATAGACCGTTGGAAATGGCGATTTTCTCGCAGTTTTCGGCCTTGCACTTTGTGCCACCACCGTGCGACCAGCAGAACCCGCGCGACTTGGCGCGATTGATGCAACGTGGAACCTTGCACTCTGTCGATCCACCTGAAATGGGTAGGACCAATGACACTTTCATCAGATAAAGTGCAGTTACTTTGCGAAACGTGTGCCGTACCGTGCTTCCAACAACGTCCTTGATGTTTTGCTCGACTGGTGCATCCCAACGTTTGACATCGCTTACCACCCTGCTCAGTTGCATTGCACATAAATACCAGTTACTTTCCCGGTCTTAGAAAGCTAAAACGGAGTCGCCCCTGACAGCAAAAATGGGGAAAATAAAATATATAAGAGTGATAGGTGCACGTACTCCATGTCGAACGCAGAGCCCTTGATCCACCACATACTGCTCACAGCTCTCATGCTTGCAGATACGGCTGGGCGGCCTTCGTGCTCGACGTTTCCCATCGGTGTTTGCTTGCTTGTCACTTGAGCGACAGGTGCGGTCACTTTGTGCTGCTGTAGCTAAATCATCTTCGAGAGCCATAGCATAACCAACCATTCCTGCTCTACTTAGATCTCCGGTACTCCTGCTTCTGCTCCTGGTGACCGACGCCGAAAATATCTTGCCCCCCGACGTGAAGTTTTCGTCTTCTGAAGGATATTTGACATTTTGAGTGAGACAACACCAGAAAACATCATATTAAACATCTTACCGACTGCCGCCGATGCTGCCTGGTCGTCTAGAATGAAGCTGAGTGACGACTTACTCAACTCACCGTCGTCCTGTGGCGTTTTCAAATGTGCATAGCTGCTAATGCGTCTAATATTATGCCTATTGCTGACGGCACTGCAGCTCGAGCTAGGCTGAGACTGAGCTGTCTCCTCGCTGTCACCTGCAACTCGGAGGTTGCTAAGTTCACTCCACTTTTCTTCAGTCACTATACCGGTGGCTACCGCTATCTTCTGTCCTTCTTCACCCTTGTGGTTATTGCCTTGCGTTGACGTTGCTTCTGAGTCTCGAGCGGTAACGTCGGTATCGCCGCACTTTCGATGCTCCATGCGAGTGTCTTACTCTTTAAGACGTAAAGATGGTGTGCTGATCCGTGGAGCTCGCGATAGCAGAAGCGACGCCAGTGTACACTGCGCACTTGAGGTTTCAAACACGACCAAATCACAATTGACGTCAGCAGCTGTGGATGTAGATGGACAAGAAAGCTCGAAAGTGCGACTCCGAGTACAGTACGGTACAGTAAAGGCCAAACGATAGAGCTTGGTCTTGCTTTGAGCTCCTATAAACTTTGCAAGACGTTGTCCTTCGTGAGTTCACTCTTAGCTACACTTCGTCGACCTCCCGAGTTCGTCCACCCAGACTTACTTTCGATTTCCGATAACGCTACGCTCGACGCGATCGGAAGGAATCAAAGAATGTACAAATAATATGTTGGCCAGCAAAAGAGCTGATACGGGAGACTGATAGACTTCACACTTACAACAACACGGTGACAATACTGTACGTCAATTAAAAACTCCGACATGATGGTCGGATAGATACGCGCTGCAAGAGCATCTCTTTTAGAGGTATACATACCAATACAAAGTTCTGCGTCATAGTAAATACCACTGCGCTTGTCAAAGTAAAGTATTTTGCAAGACAAGCTGGACAATACGCACTTTTGAACTGACCCTCGTTGCCATGACAAGCAGGCATCAATAAAGGGGTTTTGACCCTCAACAAATCGACAACGCCCTCCATCGTTTGCTCAGATTCGATGGCGATGGTGAAACAGGTGGCGTCCAGTGCAGCTCGTAAGCCAATATGTCGCGAAAGCATACATTCTACCACGATGTAGCCGAAAGATTGACGTTTCTACTTTGCGAGAGAAAGCACGGCAAGAAAATTTTCGCTTTAAGCGGTACATGAACGTGTTTTTGGCACGAGGAAGATGCAAGGACGTTCGTCGAGTGACAGCGACGATTCATCTGTCGGGTCTGCACCACTTTATCGTGTTACTGCCGCCAGGTGCACTCTGTTTACAAGCGCAGACTACTGCTTTTTTTCACATATTGCTCACGCGCAAGCAATTTTCTCTGCGAGGGGGGAGACAAACCCTATGGATGTGCTCAGCCGCCCTAATCAGAGCGTGATAAAGAGCGATGTGCGGCATTGTCACACGCTGATGAATGAGAGCAGCGCAAGTACTTTCTTTGGGGAAAGACAACTGGCAAAAAAATTCGGCTCTGTCATCCTTTTAATCTGAGTGACACTGTTTATGTAGGACGATGCGAAAATGGCATCGATAGGTCTAATCTTGGCGAGCTGTACAACTCAAAAGTGCTGTTAACGTCCTGTTTCGAGTAGTAGGCTGCAATTTAAAGCAGTACCAAGAAGAATGGAACGGCATCAGAAAGATGCTAGAAGCGCTCAACACATATTTTTAACTACATTTTTCTATGGGTCGCGTCTTCAGCAACACTTTGGTTGCTGAAGTCACGGTATCATGCGTCGACATGAGGCATTTAAACAACATTTGGTGCTATGCAGTAACTCTCTTACAGTGACTTCATTCCATCAAAGGGCTAAAATGAATCTGCGTTTGAATAGTAATCAAGTTGATCGTCTAGTGAAGTGAAGATGCTGCATTTCATTCCTTTTTCAGACGTACTGCCTATTTAGTAGACTACTGGATTACTACCACCATTGGGCGTACAATTGATGGATTGCAATGTTGACATTGTCAAAGAGTATGACAAAAACCAAGTACCAGATCGTTTTAAGTACGTCATTTGATAAGCCATCGAATCAGATATTCCGGCTACAGATAGTACTGGTTTTTCCTTTTCCAATATTACTATTTTCAAAAGTATTGAGGTATATTACTAGACTGTATGACTACTACAATGGGGACGACACGCCCCATGTTCGCCATGCTATGCGCTAACAATGTAAATCGAAGTACCGAGGCACATGACCATCTACACGCTGCAGGACTGCGTGTTTGTTCCTTCGGGGCTGGCAACCGCGTCCGTTTTCCTGGTCCATCACGTGATGATCCACGTATTTATGAGTTTTTTACACCGTATGAGACAATGTACCGGGAGCTGAAGGGTGAAAACGCCGAGCTGTATGCTATTTTTCATCATGGCTAGATTTGTAATTTTCTTATTTATAGACGACAATGGAGACTCATAAAATGACAAATGATGGTACTATACTTGCAGGTTTAAGCGAAATGGGGTGCTGGCTATGCTGGAACGAGATATGTTGACCAAAAAGTGTCCACAACGATGGCAGGATCTCAGTGTAAAGGAGTTACAGGAATTGGATGTCGTCTTGTGCTTTGATGATCGAATCTTTGAAATTGTATTAGAAGATCTTCAACTACGAGGAGCGGCCGGAGGCCCTGATGGACCTGGAAATGAACCGACGATGGTCTGGAGACCACTTCATTTGCTCTGTCTCGACACAAAAGACACACCAGAACATGCCAAAGTGGGCGGATCATTGGCTTTGGAATTGTGTCAAGCGGTAGGTTTTTGTGCTACCTTCAAGCGAGATTGGTAGACTGACAAGGTGATTGATGTTGTTGTGTGTTGTTGTTGTTGTTGTTGTTGTTGTTGTTGTAGATCAATGTGCTGAATGGTCTCGACGATGACATTATCGACGTCATTCAGGACTTTGAGAGTCGGAAAAACGTGCATTTGCTGTACTCGTTGATGCACGTGTAACGTGTGGAGGAAGCTCATAAATGAACCAGCATGTCTAGGTTTCATTTGTTCGATAGTTTACTTTTTCCACTTGCTGATAATCGACTCATGACTTGCCTTGGCTTGTTGACTCCAGCGACCAAAATCAAAACGCGTCTCCGACGGCGCGTCAGAGTCCTCTTTTCGGTTTTGACTGCACAGACCACGACGATAGTCGTCCATGATATCCAAGTCTTCGTCACCATTGACTTTGCTTTGAGAAATTGGCGCCAGAGTGAGTGAGTGCTGTCGCTGACTCCACGGAACACTTTGCAATGAAGAACTCTCGTGCCGTTGTTTTCGGTCAGAATGGGTACCTCCATTCTGCTGTTGGTTTCCATACCATGGTCTGCTTGCGACGGGCACTTGTTGTTCTTTATTCCCGGGAAAACACACATCACCAGCAAATTCGTCTTTGACGTCAGCCTCTTGATATTTGTCGGTGGCGAGAGGGTACCTAGTAACGGGATCGGGTTGTTGTTGCAATGGATGGTTCTGTGAACTGGTAGGTGGTTCGGACGCTGCGAAGTCGGATTGGCTATCGTCTGCTGTGCTAAATTCTTGCAGCATCAGATAGTCCAGAACAAGTTTTTCTTGGAGCAGATACTCTTCCTGTGGATTTTCAGAAAAGTTAGAGTGCAAGACCGACTCGACGCCTCCCTCCAGCATATCGGAGCAATTATCTGTGGACTTGCTCACTTCCATGACAAAGACGGCAACGACGGCATCCATGACAGCTACTTCGGAGTGGCACATCAGTCTTGCATGGGCCTGTGCGAGTCTCGTGAGGCTCTCCAGAAGTCGAATTGTTGTGCGAGCTGCACTACGACTATCAGATGCCCGCTGTCGCTGGTAATAACGCTGGAGTATTGTCATTGCCGCACGACTCAGTTGGGGCTCATACTTATCCTTTACGTAACAGATATATGCTTGCAGTGTTTGGATACTCCACACCGATGGACCTTCCTCCGGTGCCGACGATCGTGGCTCTTGTCTATCCACTGACTTGAACGCTGACTCGTTCTCATGGTATTCAGCTTCTTCTTTTACACTGGTATTCGTCCCAACGGCCTGTTTGAGGATGAAAGAGGAGACGACATTGTCCCAACGCGGGTTCATGCGATCCAGCAGCACGAGAATGAGGTCAAACCGACTAAGTAAAGGGCTAGCGATGCTTGTGTTTACAGACACGTCTTTCGTCGGGTCATATCGGCCCTTTGGGTTCGTCACGGCAAAGATTGTGGTTCGTGCATTCAATTTGCACACTAGACCAGCCTTTGCCACGCTCAGTGTCTGCTGCTCCATGGCTTCATGGATGGACGTACGATCGTTATTGCGAATGCTACTGAACTCGTCGATGCAACACACGCCGCGATCTGCTAGCACCAAGGCACCAGCTTCCAGCATCCACTCGCCGCCATCCTTGACTGCTGTACAGGTCAGTCCAGCGCTTGTCGTGCCAATACCCGTTGTAAGAACCGAGCGGGGGCTGAGCTCGGCCGTAAAACGGAGAAACTGAGATTTCCCTGTACCAGGATCGCCGACCAAGAGTATGTGTGGTTCGCCACGCGTCTTCATGCCAGTGTCATCGACGTACGAGACTCCGCCGATCACTGTAAGCGCCACCGCAAGTTTAACAATAAACAGCCCGTAAACTTTCGGACAAATGCTTGCGACGATTTCGTTGCGTCCTCGCACTGGATGTTGTCGGTGTTTTGCCCAAAAGTGTGCAAACTCTGCTCGCAACTCTTCAGTAACGAGGACATGCGATGTCGACGCATTCTTAATGCGAATGCTGTTAGCTTTGATTGTCGTCTCCAGGTCGCAGCGTACTCCTCTCACACAAGGTTTCCATGTGCGCATTAGGATGCCCACCACCACGACCTGATCTCCAGCCTTCACGGAGTCTACCAGATCGTCCTCCAGTACAACCAGCATCGACCTTGGAATGGAGCCAACGCCTAACTTGGATGCCTGCTCCTGGATCTTAATCACCTGGTGGTCCGATACCACACTGCCCTCAGCTCCACCAAGAGGCATGAACTGCATCGACTTGCATGGCTTCTTACCGCCACTGCTCGTGTCTCCAGTACTATCCGACGGACAAACTTTCTGCAGTCAAGCAAAGAGCACACAAGAAACAGTCAGCCCATCGCTTCTTCGAGGAACAGCATCTCATTTTCTTACTGGAATCTCCAGCACGTTGCCCTGCTCTGGGTCCGACTTGACCAAGAACCGGTGTCCACACCGCACATTGCAGCACTGGTACTCTCTCTCCGTCTCCTGCATCTTAATCTGCACAATAGATAGTCAGC